CTCTCTCTCTCTCTCTCTCTCTCCCCCCTCGACCACCCCCCTCTGTCTCATTAGCAACTGTTCTAAATCCTTCTGGTGCTCTTTTTACCACACTGAATTTCAACTAATAAAGTTTCTATTCTTATTTGCAATCTATTAAGCCCACAAGTATTACAGACTTTCCCTGGAAAAATCTCATTTAAATAACTTCGCTATTCTCCTGTTATACATGGACCACATGTCTGTTTCCTAGCTCCTTGGACTAATCACAAAAGTATTACTACACAATGGCTTGATGGCCATCGGAGATCATTCTGTCTGAAATTCCTCGTTTACACTTTCTATCTGGCCTCACCGGTTCACTTATTTGATTGTTACCTATCTTCCTCGATGCGCACCCTCTCACTGGAACTATGTACTGCAAGCTTCATTTTTTGCCTAACAAGGTGTGTTTTATTATTTTTTTAATCCAATTAATATCCCTTTTGGTATTTTGCTTTGCCTCAGTATCTGACCCATGATATTTTATTTTACTTGATGTATTATGAATTTTTTTTATTTTATTGCATTTGTTAATTTTTGTATTAATTTGTATTATTATTCTGTGTGTTAATTTTTGTAAAGTGTTCATCCTGTTCAATAATTTTTTTTTTTAATCTGACCTGTGTTACCAGAAGAGTAATATCAACTTTTTCCACTCAGTGCAAGGGTTCTGATTTTTAGGCGCGTTTTGCTTGTATTAGGACATGGCGTAGTTCACCTTACCTCCATGTATTAATTTTCTGTCCCTTTCTATTTCTCTTGATTTTAATGAATAGCTGAGGGGTGTTTGGGGTGCTTTGGCATGTAATAAAAAGTTGGCGAAGATGTGAGCTGTCTTAGGCATGAGGTGGGGAGATGCCCATCTCGACAAAAAGTAATGTGCAATGGGCATCAGCGCAGAGAATTTCTGTGATGAGAGGAGGGGCACCTGATGTCCCAAACCCAAGGAGACAAGGTGGGAATAGCCAGATGGAGGTCAATCTGATGTGTAGGTAAGGGTGGTCGGAGATGTCTGAACTTGAATTTTGAAAAAGGTGTGCAGGCAGGTTTCCACATGATAGTTCTTGCCCAGGCATGTTTGATTGTTGTATTAATGACTCTCCTTCTTGTCTTCATGAATAATCATTGGCAAAACCTTTTTGCAGTCTCAAATGATGGAGGAGAGTCCTGAAGAAGCACTGAAGAGAGAGGAAATGCTCCGCATGTACCATGCATGTAAGGAGGCCCTGAGAATTATTGGGGATGTTTCCATGGCAACAGTATCTACTCCAGTACCTCCTCCAGTGAAGAATGATTGGCTTGTTTCGGGTCTTGACAATCCAAGGTCAGTTTCTCATGTTACATTGAATAAATGAACTGTGAACTATGGTCTTATTTAGATAGTTATTTCTATATTTTTAAGTACAAATAAACCAATGTCAAGTCATGTATATCAGCATCGAGCATTAAGGCAACACTTTGCAGCTCCAGTGTACCAGTGATTGTTTGGTTGATCCCTGACAGTTATTGGAGATTTGCCACATGTGTTTAATAGAGGCAAGTTTGTAGTCTCTAAAGGGACTGAAGTTGAAGGCTGGCTGTTATGACCAGTGGTTCTCCATAGTTTCCCTGATCGCTTCTAGGTGAATGATCTGTGTGATCTTTCCATCCTTGTTGTGTTCCCCTCCTTAGCGCTAAGCGATGGGTAGATCACCTATTGTCATGTGGCCATCTTACTGATATAGAAACCCTCTGACAAGCGTCAGAGGTAATCATGGCCTGAAGTGGGCTATAGAGTCAGAAATTAAATATGAATATAACCCAGTAACCATTCAAATTTACCAAAATATCTATTTTACTAATTTCATATACTCAGAAATGAAGAGAGAACTAAGCAGCCTATGACCCCATGAGAAATGTCAATGGTTTTGTTAGATACCCAGGACATCGTGAAAAATACAAAACTGAACAGCGTAATTTTCACTGAAAAAATGCAAATATTTGAGTGACATTGTGACTGACGTAGTTACAGTGTGTTGAGAGCCTGTCCCTATTAAATATTTACTGTTTACATGTTACATTAATGAACGGCAGCTATTTGTAGGCATGTTAAAAACTGTAGTAGTTCATAAATACAATACTATGATTTTGGAGTATTAGTGAAGTCATTGTTTAAATATTAAAATTTTTTGCAGAGTTCTGAGCGTTCTTTTTGAGCTATGTGCATGCTACTTTTTGGCAAAACATCTTGTGTTGTTTGTACTGCTTCATTTTTTCTATTAAATTATTGCCTTTATTTTCCTTGTCGTGGTTCAGGTCATTGGGCCTGCTCTTCCGCCTAACCACACAAATTTGCTGAGAGCTAGCGTAGAAAGGAGGCATCACATAGGCTACAAAAAACTTTCTTTGAATTTTGTTCTGAGGCTTCATTTAGACTTGATACATTTACATAGTAAATTAGTAAATATAGAACACGGGGCAGCCAGCTCTACTGCTCCTAAAAGGAAGGCGTATAAGTTTTTTTGGCCCATAAATATCTAAAGTGTCAATCAGGTTTCAACCTGCAAACTTGGTTTTTATAGTCCGATACGCTTACTGTTACACCACTGAAGCCACAGCCTGATGTTTTTTTGCTGCTGCTGCAGCAGGCTGAGTTACTACTTTACATTTGTCTTGCTCTTATTAGAATTATTTAACTTAGTGTAGCCCTTAATGAGTGTACTTTATTAAGGATTTCTTTAAAAATATCCTCAGTAAATTCACAATAAATAGATATTTTAAATGCAGCACAGTTGCCTAGCTAGTCTATCGTCAGGCACAGAAAGTTACATGAAAAATAATGATCAAAGTGCTTTTTAAAAAAATGTTTATATTTCATTACTCAACCCTCTGTCTATGGAGGTACATTTTCTATCCCCTTTTCTTTTATTTTATGCATGATTGGTAGTCTTTTCCGTCTATCTCTCTCTATATATATCTTCTTATTCTTATCATTATTATTGTGATTATTGCCCAGAAGTTTTCTAAATTTTTATTGCTTTTTTAACGTTTTTATGACTTTATGCAGTGGAATTGCTTCATTGTATTTCTTGAGTTGTTTTAATACATTTTAATTTCATCTTTCTTCGTTTTTTGTCATTATTTTCCATGTTTTCTCTATGGCACTGATCTTGATGAAGCCTGAAACATGTCTACTTGAACATCATGAAGGCACTGTCGTGCTTTGCTTTTTTGTTGAAGCGAAAAGTCCAAGGATCAGGATGTTAAAACTAAATAAGATAGGAAAACCATTCTAGTCTTTTCTTTTTCTTTTTTTAAATTGATGCCGTCTGGTGTCGTTCGCTCATGAGGAATCCCTTCTTACATTTTTACTTCTACACATGATATGGCATCTGATCCCTTTTGAGAACAGAGATCTAGGTATATGATGTACCCTTCTTGGTAGTGGAGATTTCCCAAGTATGAAGAACGCAAACAAGTATAATTCTCCTTTCACTATTGCCATTTCAAGGTTCAAACAAGAGTTCAAAATATTTCGTAGAGACAGCATTGCAAGTAAAACTAATTTGTAGTAATTGAACTGGATGGTCATGTCCAATCAAGATTACAAAGAAATAAGTCTCATTCCATGAAAGTTTTCATGCAAATTTTTTTGAGTTAGAATACAAATATCAATCATTTGGTTTGTATAAACAATAATTTCTTTTAAATGATGATTTTTCATCATTTAAATGCCTTTTTGCCTGCCTATTTTTGGTAAAAATAAATATCTGAACTTCCTGGCTCTACTCACTCTTCTTCTTCATGACTAAAGATGTGAAGTGGTGTCTGAATAGCCAAAGTGCGTCTGAAAAGTTCGGTGATTGGATGCATAAAACAAAGCCAGGAAACAAAATTTTGGTATTCACCCTCAAAACGACATCTATTTGATACAATTCACTTTTGACACCAGTGATAAAGATGCTGCAATAAGTCAATGGAGGTCTCTAGGGATTGAACAAAGCGTGGATGTCACACATAGTGGGATGTCTCGTATGACTGCAAACTTTCTGACTTTCAGGGCCCATTGAGGCAAAAAAGATGAAAAAGAAAAAAAACTTAGCAGGCTCTAGATCAGGGGAGTTTGGTGGATGTATGAGAATGCTGACGTGCCAAGAAGTTACATGTAAGGATCACATGTGGACATAGTCGTGTAATAGATTCTAGCAAATTCCAAATTTGTGATGGATCGTGCTGTTGCTGTTGAAAGCAGGAGTCTTTATAGGGAAACATAGGCAGTTTTTTTTAGAAGAGCATGGGAACATCTTTGAACACCCTTTCATAGCTAGACAATGGCTTGAAAGACGGCCATAACGTGTGTTTGAAATCTGGTAATGTGCATGCACGTCTTTCCTGCTTGTCGGTCAGCGAGAGTGACACAAAACAAGAACAAATCTTGCACTTATGCAACACATCATGAATTATGGTGATAAAATTGCCCTTGCTAATTTTCACCTCAGATATTCATCATACAGAGAGGCAGTGATTCTACATTATCTGACATATCCAGTCAGTTTCTGGTCATCACACTACCTTATGGGCAACCTGAACATAGTTCATTACATGGTGTCCTTTCCATCAGAAAATTAGTATACACGTTTCCTGCTCATTGCGTTGGCTACAAAATCTGCACGAACATTACACGTGTTTCCTTGTCGGTTTTACACACTTTGTAACAAAACTTCACGTGTATCCATTGTTCCATTTGAGAAGTCTCAAGTAACTGCTGTTCCACTGCCCCTAGCAGATTAACGGGCTCGTACATTCTATGCTACGTGCAATTCAGTGGTCAGTCTGCACATGCGCGTGACTGTAGGTCGCACTTGCATTGCTTACGAGATATATATCAATCTCCTGACTTTTCAGACGCCCCTTGCAAAATCCACTCCAGGTTGCAAACATCACCCATAGGCATGAGCAAAAAAATTGAACCATCCAAATTCTCTATTACATCTCTTTGTGAACAGGCTGGGAGAGGTGACTTGACCTAGGGCATCAACTGATGTTACTGCAGTGCCTCTGACTATGAGGTCGTAGGTTTGAGTCCTGCTGGTGGCAAAACTTTCAACACTACCTAGATAGCTAGGACAAATGCAGTCCAGTCTGGAAGTGAATTCTTGTGACTGGTTGACGACAGTTTTCGTGTGTGTGGTTTGTGGGTTTCTTTTCGGGTTGGAGAGTTTAGAGCTTGCCCCAGCTGGAGTGGTGCCCCGCTCTGGGGATGCCTGGTTGAGGAAAACTCCGCTAGCCGACAGGTAGGTCGGTGTCGAATCTCACCATCCATCCAGTGGGAAAAGATAACTACTTCCTCCAGAGAGGGAGGGCATGCACTACACTTACAGTGTCTTTGGCAGTTGATGTGCCCAGAATCAATAATCTATAAAACAGTCAATATTTGTGAGCAGCATTTGAAACAAGATATACTCAGATGCAATCTTCTTTTACAGATTATCTCCACCATCTCCGGGTGGCCCACGTCGAACACCTATCCAGCCTACACCAGTAGGAGCTTCTTCTCGGGCCCCTCCACCACCACCAGCTTCAAGTCGACCTGCACCCAATATCCCAAATCGACCTGGTGGTGGTATGCCTCCAATGCCACCTGGCAGGCCAGGTGGTGCTGGGCTGCCGCCGCCTCTCATTCCTACGTAAGTAAAAATTTGTCAAAACTGTGTACTACAATAAGTTTAAAAGGTGAGAAATTTTGAGACATTGTATCAATTAATTTACCTTCCATTGCTTTCTATTTTTGATTCCATCAAATTGTTGTTTCCTTACCTATACCAATATTTTGTAGTAAATACCAAATTCTTTTGGTAAATCCTTTTAGAACAAGCTTATTTAATTTGGTTTCACAAAATAATCTTTCTTAATACTCGACATTTTACTTAGTGTAAGTTTCATGCTTTTGAAGTGTGTTTCTTCCTAGTCCTCTTTAGACCCATGGAGCGTCATTACAAAAGTGCCATATGCAATCTAAAGTAACCATTTCCAAAATTATTTTATTCATTAAGACTAGTATACATGATATCGGTATCTCTTTCTATTTCTCTCCCTTTCTGTCGCTGCCTCCCATGTTTCGCTCTCGTTGCCTCCATTTTTGTCTCTCTCTCTCTGTCTCGTGCTCTCTCTTTCTGCTCAAAAGAAAAGTTCATTTCCAGTAATAAGAGGACTTTGATGATACAAAAGAGAAAATCTCAAATCAGTTTGTTTGTGTTACATACTGAATTCTCATTTTAATCTTTTTTTTTTTTTAATTAAATTAATTTAAATTCTTCTACTAGTCAATTACTAGTCAGTGCCAGT